CGCTCTCTTTCCCCTGGCGAGCGTAGCTCGCAGGAGCAGGACGATGGACTCGCTGCTCCTACGGTAAATGAGTTCGCAGCGAACGTGGACGAGCGGCGAGTGGTAGCAGCAACGAAGGATACCACCGCCGCCGCTCCTTCGTCCTGGACCTTACTTCGGGGAAAGTAATCGAGTTTCGAGCGGAATGTATCGCGCGGAATCCGCTTCAAAGTCCGCTACGAAGAGCCTCGCGTGAATACATCCTGCGTCGACGGAACGACAGGACGAGCCGGCTGAGCCGTACCAGCCAGATATTTCCCCGCGGAAAACCGAGTTTTTCTTCTCCGCTGCTCTTCCAGTCATCTCGCTCGATGTGAAGGATCAATATTTTTATGCAGCCACTTTTTTGTATCAATTACTAGAGTGAGCGTTCAGGGGAGGGGGGATCACACTCTTCCTCACTCAAATATAGAATAAAACGAGAGCGGCACCGCGGCTCGGGCCGATCGGCAATTTATTCCGTGGAAAGGAAGAGAGCCGAAGGATATCCCGCGTGACTTTGCGAAGCATTTTAGGAATTCGATTTCACGTCCGCGATGAATTTTCAGCCCCGATAATTCGCCCGCCCGAGCTGGCTGCGCTCGTAACCTGTAAATTTGAAAGTTTGGAGAACTAAGGTAATGGACGCGCGTCTTAGGGATCAGGAGTGCGATCGAAGGATGAAGTTCGCGGATGTTGGCAGCGGCAGCGGCGGCGGTGGCGGTGGCGACGACGACGACGACGACGACGACGACGACGACGACGACGACGACGACGGTAAGGGCGGGATGCGAGAGGAGTTCTCGCAAAGATATCGCGAGGGCAAGGATAACGAGGAGCTCGCGTTTCGTGCGAGTCGAGGGAAACGAAGTTAGCCGCCTCCATCGGCAGACACGGTCCACTGGGAACGGATCCTTGGCAAGTTCCATTAAACGCATTACGTACCGGAGAGGGAAGAACTCCCGAGGGGCCGCCGCGTCGGAGAAACTTACCGCGGGTAGTCCCGCGGTGGTCGCGATCGCGAAGATCTCGAGACCGAGCCGGCCGAGTTTCGCCGAAATTAAGGGGCACGCGTGTGTTAACCTTAATTATTGTCCGGCGAAACGCACGGGAGGTGTACACCGGAGCCGCGCTGAACTCGCACGGCCGATCCTCCCGTTCTCGCCCAGCAAGATCCCCGATCTGCCTCGGAGAGCCCCGATCGGCTTTTCCCCAAGGACGGAGCGATTGAAAAACTGTGTAATTCTTGCAAGCTATGTATTGGGTGAGTGCAAAAGTTCGTGCGGAGTTTCAATAGATGGAGTTATAAGCGTCGTAAAGTGTTGTCATTAATACTTCCATCTACATATTATATAACGTTGGAAAGGTGACGTCTTCAGCTGTTATTAAAAAAAAAATCATTTGTTTTCATACAAACTGCTTCGAGAAATATCACTTTAAAAATGAGTATCGATAAGGTGCATTTACGGCATGTTATGCTTTACGAGTTTCGGAAGGGAATAAACGTTGCCGTAAAAAACATTCAGGATGTTTATCAGGATGAAGCACCAGCTAAACGAACTGTGGAAAAATGGTTTGCTAAATTTCGGCGCGGAGAATTTAACCTTGAAGACGAGCCACGCTCTGGTCGACCTTCTGACATTGATGACGATGTTTTGCGTACTTTAGTGCTCAATAATCCGCGAATTTCAACAGAAGAAGTTGCCACAGCACTAAACGTTGACCGATCAACCGCTTTTCGGCGTTTAAAAAAGACGGGATTCGATTTGAAGCTCGATATATGGGTGCCCCATTTGCTGACCGAGAAGAACAAAATCAAGCGAATTTCTGCAGCCGTTTCTTTACTCGGGCGGCTCAATAACGAGTCGTTTTTGGATCGACTAGTGACGGGCGATGAGAAATGGGTCCTCTACAACAATGTTCAGCGCAAACGGACACGGAAACAATCAGGTGAGCATGGTGACGCAATGCCAAAGGCCAGTTTGCACCCGATGAAGGTGATGCTCTCTGTTTGGTGGGATTGCAAGGGCATAATCTATTTCGAGCTTCTCCCCGCTGGCGAAACGATTGATTCGGACAAGTACTGTCGCCAATTAACCAATCTGAATCGAGAAATAAAAGAGAAACGTCCGATCTTGTCAAATCGCAAGGGAGTCGTCTTTCATCACGACAACGCCAGACCACACGTTTCGAAAAAGACGCTGCGCAAACTGAAGAGCCTGAAATGGGATGTCTTAACGCATCCACCGTATTCTCCTGATATCGCACCATCTGACTATCACTTGTTCCGGTCATTGCAAAATTATTTAAATGGAAAAAACTTTGACTCTTTGGAGGCCTTAAAAAACGGCGTCTCTTCGTTCTTCGAATCTAAACCGCGCAGTCTTTATGATCGAGGCATCCGTATGCTGCCAGAACGTTGGGAAAAGATTATAGAAAACGATGGAGAATATATCATTGATTGAATAAAGATTTTTGTTTGCCTAATCACTGTGTGACTTTTACTCACGAACTCCGCACGAACTTTTGCACTCACCCAATAATTATGGGCGCAATCATGGGGAAAAGTGTGCGATGAACGAGCAGCTGAGGAGCGAATGAAGGGATTGTGCGTCGAAATACTAACAGTCGAGACGCGTCAGGAGATTCCAGTGTTACTAATCGAAACATCGAAACCCCCGAGAGATCTATCTAACACGGAGGAGTCGTGCCCGCGCCCGTCCGCGCATATCGTCTGATTTTTCGCGGTGCGAGCGACCGCGAAATCGTATCGTCGCGCAACGAGCAAAATGAGCAACGAGAGACGCTGCGAATTCGCCCGGTCGAATTAGTGGCGTCTCCGCGCGCGTCTCAAGCAGCATCACCGTCGCCGTCGCGCGGCCGACCGCGCTCCGAAAGCGCGACGAAACGGTCCCCTTTTAATCCCCGAGCGCTAACTACACCGGCACCTCGGACGATCTGGCAATTCGGAAGATTGGTCCGCATTACGAAATTATCGTTATTCCCCTACGGAGTAGGGTGGGGAACGGGGCGAGCGAGCGAGCGAGCGAGCCATCGGACGCCCCGGGCGCCAGGCCTTTTTTTCGGTTAAAATATGGAAAACGTTCCGGGTAGCCCCCGTGGATGATCTTCAGAAACGCATAATGGGACTGGAAGGCCAATCTTGGGCTCCGTTAAATCACGTTCAGCAACGATCGAGACGAGGGCAGTGCACACAGAAGAATCCTTTATCCGAGCAAACAACGTACACCGCCTCGGGACACTGACTCGCCGGTGTTCGCAAAAAGAGGAGAAAAAAAGACGGGGGGGGAGGGCGAGGGGGAGAGGAGAGAAAGGCAAAAAGAAGGGATGCGAAGCGGCGAGGAAAAAGAGAAAATTAAACGTGCCGTGTTGAGTCGCTCAACGCGACGAGGAATTATTTCGCGATTAAGAGCGCGCCGGAGACAAAGCGCTTAGTCGGAGGAAAGTGCAAGGGGACCTGAAATTTCCTCCCGTCGATACGCAGTCGCCCGACCGTCGCCGGGTCGCTATGTGTCGTGGACTCCCTCCAAGATATATTTCAACCATTATAAAAAGAGGGAGAGAGAGAGAGAGAGAGAGAGAGAGAGAGACAGAGAAAACGGGCAAAAAATGGCAAAGCAGTGGCTGCAGGATATATCCCGCTAATTTCGCGACAGCTGTGTCGTGCTCTACGAGGACGACACTGGTCGGTCTGCGAAGATGCCGATCTGCTGATGGGATCGCGAAATCTTTAGGTCGAAACACCGAATGAGAGATCGCCTTTGTTTCGCGAGGAAGAAAACAGCGATGAGAATTATATAAAATAACGGCCTAATGCGAGTTGATGTAGACGAGGAACCTGAAGCCGCCATGTGATCGGACTAGGACGCTCGGTCGCGTGTGCGTTTTGTATATGTGTTTGTATGTGTTTGTATATGTGTTTGTATGTGTGTTTTGTGTGTGTGTATGTGTGCGTGGGTAAGTATAGCGGCGCGTACGCAATTAGCGTTGTAGCAATTTTGTCGTTCTCTCTCTCTCTCTCTCTCTCTCTCTCTCTCTCTCTCTCTCTCTCTCTCTCTCTCGCTCTCTCTCTCTCTCGCTCACTCCGTCTCTTCCTTTCGTATTCAGCGTCTCCGCGCAATAAATCACGCGGGCCGCCGCGCCGCGAAATTACGAGCGGAGCGCGTCAGGAAACGTCGGCTTGATGCGAGCTAACGTATCTTGCATACTTACGTTCACCACCTCCCCGTTAATCGCGGAAGGAAACAAGAGCCGCGTCGACTTTTCGGATCTTTCCGACAAAGGAGCCGGTGTCGCGGCGGCGATATCGAGCGGTATCGCGTCGCGTGTACTATCTGGCGAAATCACCTCACACGAGGTGATCTCCCCCGCTTGCCAAGTCGCGTCGAGACTCGGCTGAGAAAATCCCCTTCAACATTGACGCGTGTCACCACCTGATTCTCCTGATCCGAGAACGCGTCGAGTCGACGCGCGACATAATTTTTTATCGAATATACCCGAGAGAGAGAGAGAGAGAGAGAGAGAGAGAGAGAGAGAGAGAGAGAGAGCTCTGAATGAGGCGTCGCGCGATTCTTACATCATCTCGGGACGAGGTATCATCCTCCTCCAAGTCGCACGGAATTTGTAATTCCGTTAATACGGAACCGAAATTTCGACTCGGGTAAACAACGTGGAATGAGGAAGGGGATTCTCCTGCCCACGTCGCCCTTTCGCGAGACAATACGCGGGTCGGTCACGATCACGCGGCCCAGCGGTAACCAGCTTCGTCGGTCGATCCCGCCTGACCGATGATGCATCTGGCTAAGTATACACCCGAGAGCGGCAATCGGCGCGATGCATCGCGACCCGAGGTGTCGCCGTGGACTATCATCTGGGGCTTGATTAGCCCTACGTAGGTAGGTAGGTAGGTAGGTAGGTAGGTAGGTAAGAAAGGCCAGCAAGAGAGCCGAACGAACACTTACCTTGTTCCGCCTGGGTCCCTCGCGGGCAGATTAGCAACAGCAGCAACGGCAGAAGGTGGGCAGCGGAAGCAGCAACGGCGGCGCAGGTGGCTAAAAGGCCCGCCACGCCGGCCATATTGAAGGGGGCCATCCTTATCGCGGGCCCCAGCGTATCGCCGCGGTATCAGGCCGCCGGTCCTCTCACGATCTGTGCGAGGATGCAGCAGCAGCGTCGTCACTCTCGCCTCCTCATGCCTCCTCCTCTACGCTTGCTTTCGCGTCGTCTCGTGCGTCACAGCCCGATGACGACGACGACGACGACGACGACGACGACGACGACGATGGCGTGCAATCACCACCGTCGCCACTGCCGAATTCCTCCACCGTCCTCGGTGACACCACCACCACTACCACCACCGCCACCACCACCACCGCCACCACCAACACCACCACCACCACCGCCACCACCTCCGCCTTCTTCACCGACCACCGCTTTCTCTTCCCGCTTATGCTCCAGCTTATCTGATTTCCTCGAGCGATCGGTGCGCGCGAGCGAACGAGCGAGGTCGGCCTCTCGACGATGCTTTTCGACTCGTTGGCGACGCTGGATCCGGATCGGCCGTGTCGGACTTGCGAATTCGTGTGATGTGATGAATACGAGCGAGCGACCGAGAGGCGGCGGCCGATACTCGGTGTCGCATCTACTTGTTATCCTCGCGTCACGTGTGATGATGCGTGTGGTTTCCGCTAATGACGAGGAGTGGATTCGATTCTCACATGACGACACTGCCGTTGTCGGGTTCCGCTTTTTTCACTTCACGTTCTCGCCACTTCCGATCTTCGACGGCGGATTCAAGTCCTTGCGCTGGCGAGCGCTGGCGAGCGCTGGCGCGATCTCACCGACCGCTGCGTCTGAAAGAAACGAAATATCGATTGCGTTAATTAAAATCTGGCAACTCTCCTGCCGCTCGTGCTTCGCGCATTTTCCCTTTGCGCCCCGAGATCGTCATTACGTTCGTACGTGCGAGCGACGTACGTCGTAGAGCAGCGCCAAGCGCGGCACAACGTCGTTTCGATCGCTCGCGTGAATGGGAACGCAGAGAGCGCGTGTTCGTTTATTTTCTCTGCTCCTCTAATGGCACCTTTGAAAGGCACGGTGTCTTCATAGTTCTAGCTCGTTGGAAAAGACGCTGCGCGACCTCGGCTGCACGACGTCAAACTACTTTTGCTTTTTTTCTTTCAAGCGAATCGATCGAACGCGCATCATCATCATCATCTATCACGAGAGCAATAAATTCTCATTAATCGTCAGGTTTGTTTCGACACCACGCACGGAGGCTTGGAGAACGTAAGTTCGCAACGTTAAGAATGTCGAGGGGCTGAAGAACGAAGAAACCTAAATTGCTGGGAATTAACGCGAGAGGAAAATCGAGAGCCTCCGCCGCGCGTTCTGCCTACATGCATTGTTCCTTTGAAAACGCTGGTCGAGAGAAATGTGTCACATATGAGAGGAGGAAGGTAAAACGCACGGACGCGACGGATCTCGAGTTCAAGGTCGACTCGCGTCACCCTGGGCGAAGGATTCCGAGCTGCCGGCTGGAATTCGTTACTCTCAAACGGCAAATTACCGCGTATGGAAAGGAAAATAGTGTCGGTGACGAGAGGGCGCGAACGTGACGAGGGGATAAAAGAAATGGCAAAAGGAACGAACGAAGAGCAGGGGAGGAGGAGGAGGAGGAGGAGGAGGAGGAGGAGGGAGGAGGAGGAGGTGGTGGCAGCAGCGGCGGCGGCGGCGGCGGGAAAGCCCTGAACAAAACTTTGGGGTTCATCACGATAGTGGGAAGGGTGCCTGGGTGGGATAAGGCGGGACGGAGGGCAAGGGGTTCCAGGATCAATACTATGCGTTTATCCGTCTCCCTCTCACCTCCTCCGTCTTCGATCTCCCTCCTCGTCGCACCAGCGAGGAACGCGACACGGGGGCGAGAAAGAGGAACGGAGAGGACGAGGCATCGACCGTCCCTTTTCGGCCAACTCCGTCTTTCGCTTTCGCTCCGGTAGGCTCTACTAGGGTCTGCTCGACGTCTCGCCATTCTTCGGGGAAACGAGAGGAGCAGGGCAGAAGAGGAAAGACACAGAGGGTTCCGCGTGCGAGGAGACGCGAATGCGCCGCGGATCGAAGTAGGAACGCGAAATTCTAGAGTGCCGAAACGCGCGGCGGGGCAGAAGGGCGAAGAAGAGCGAGAGTGTTGGAGGAGAAGACGAGAGAGGAAGAGAGAAGGAAGGTATGAGAGAGGAGAAGCGGAACAGACGATAGAGACAAAAAGAGAGAAAAAGCGCGCGCGCGAGATAGAGAGAGAGAGAGAGAGAGAGAGAGAGAGAGAGAGAGAAAGGAAGAAAGAGAGAAAGGTGGTAGACGCGCTTTAGGAGTTCTTCTAAAGCGGGCAAAGACCTTCTCTCGCTTCTTCTTCCCCTTCCCCCTCCGACCCCTTCTCTAGCCAGGTCGGCCAAGATGCATCCGCGAAATTGCAGACTTCAGTGAAACGCCGCTGCCGCTACCGCTGTTGCTGCGGCCGAGACTCAGCTCAGCTCAGCTCAGTTCAGCAAGCAGGCAGGCATGCAGGCAGGCACAGCATCTCCACCGGCTCGGCTACCACCGGCTCGTTGCCATTGCCCGACGAGTGGTCTCGTCAAAAATTTAAGATGTCCTCCTTCTCCCCCTCGACGCACCTCTCTCGGCCCTCCTCCATCGTCCTTCCTCATCCCACTCGCTTCCCACTTCAGCGACTTCCTCTTCGGAACAGGCTAGAAATCCCTAGTGCTTCTTTTCATCCGGCATATTCTTTCACTTTTTTTTTTTTCTTTCTCGACAAGACCCGCTAGAGGAATTGCCGAAAACAGCTCTGCTCGTCTGGAGAGAGAGAGAGAGAGAGAGAGAGAGAGAGAGAGGGAGAAAGAGAGAGAGAGAGAGAGAGAGGGAGAGGGAGAGAGAGAGAGAGAGAGAGAAGGAGAGATTCAAGTGGCGATGGAGAGTGCGCTGGGGGTGATGATGGCCGTTAGGTAGGCGGGTGGGTGGTATCTAAAGTACCTTTGAGAAGCCACTATTTTCCATTTTTTCCCTTGCCTACCGTTCACCCCGTGTCGTTGCCGGTTACTTTTTCCTTCCTCCGAAAAGCAGACGTAAACACGACGAGGATCGTCTCTCCCTCTCCCTCCACCCTCCCTCCCCCCCCCCTCTCTCTCTCTCTCTCTCTCTCTCTCTCTTTCTATCAGCAAGTCGCCCACTCGGTAGGTGGTTGGCCACCTTCTTCAACGAGTAAAGGCCTCTCTCATTCTCCCTTTCTCTCCCGCTCCCTCCGTCTCCCTCGCGCCTCACGTCCTCTTCCGGGCCAGACCTCTTTCCGAGTATCCAACCAGGTACGCCAAATTGCAGATTTCGGGAGGCGGAGGAAGAAGCCGACTCGAGTGGCTCGTGAAAATTTTAAGCCCGCTTCTGTGTGATGCGCCGCGGTGCCGCGTCTCCGACGGAGTTTCGCGATACACCCCCGTCGGGCAGATCGTCACACAGAGCCGGATGGCGCGGGTGCCGACCGCCGAGAGAGAGAGAGAGAGAGAGAGAGAGAGAGAGAGAGAGAGCCGGCCTCTGATACATGTACTGTGTACAATGCCTCTCTTCGGCTTTCGGGAATATCTTCGAGTGCACTTGCCTCCTTTCAAGGTGAAAAGCCCCCCGGCTCTCGTGACGTCGCACGCCAGCGTTCGCGCTCGCGGGCGAACGAGCGAGCGAGTGCGTCGTCTCCACCCGCCAAAACCCTCCGTCGACCGCTCTTAACACACATACGCACGCACGCACGCACGCACGCACGCACGCACGCACACATACATACACACATGAGCCCGCGGAAACTTTCGCCGCGAGCTGTTCGGACGTTTCTATCGAGATTAAGATGCTGCTCCCTCCCGCTTGTCTCTCTCTCTCTCTCTCTCTCTCTCTCTCTCTCTCTCTCTCTCTCTCTCTCTCTCTCTCTCTCTCTCTCTCTCTCTCTCTCTTACCTCAGAAGTTCGTTATCCAAGGGAAAGCCTAGCCGCGGTATCTCGAAAACACGACAAGGGACTGTCGCTTACACGAAGACAAAAAAAGATGCGGTGTCACGATGTAACGGGAGCCGTTCGTCTAATTCATGCTGATTATTCTCGGAATGTCGGGACGCGGCTTGATAACGGCTTTCCGCAGCTCTCGTACCGACTACGAGACACTCTCTAACGGGAGATGTGATTACTTTTTTTTCTAATTATACATTCGAGAGAAAAAATCATCTCTTTCCTTATCCGGTATTCTCTCGCCGTATGACGAGAGGACGTACAAAATAATTCCGTGAAGGCCACGTGTACGCGTTCTACGTCCTCTTTCTCTGTCTCTCTCCCTCCCTCCTCCCCCCCCCTCTCTCTCTCTCTCTCACTTCTCGTTTCCTCGCCGCGCCGCGGCTTCCTCTCACTCTCGTTCGATTTCTCTTGTTTCTATGGTTTCGTCGGACTTTCCTCGCGCCATCGGCGCCGCCCGTGACCGCCTCGGGACAAATTCTATTTCCGGTTGAATTTAAGACCCTCCGGAATACACGGATTTATTTCACCGGCGTGCCGCGGCACGGGGGAGGGGAGTGGCGCGGTTTTACTCCGGATCCGACGAGGCTCGTAAACGTAACAAAGAAAAGATGTATACTCAGCCGTGAAGGAGAAAGAGAAGAAGAAGAAGAAGAAGAAGAGGAAGAAGAAGAAGAAGAAGAAGAAGAAGAAGAAGCAACAGCAGCAGCAGCAGCAGCGGCGGCGGCGGTGGCAGCAGCGAACGCAGGAGAGCGAGGAAGGAAGGAAGGAAGAGCGTAGGAGAGAAGGTTCCTCGAAATTATTATACCTTGGACCATCGCGCTACTCTCGGGACGACCCGGGCGCTATTATTTTTCCGAAACTACGTTCCACCACCTCGAAGCTGATCTTTCTGTTTTTTCTCCTCTTTATTCCCGCTCATCTCCCCCTCCCCTCTCTCTCTCTCTCCTCGTCCCTTTTCCTCCGCACCCGCCGACTTTTACGATAGTAACGATCGTACGGTTAACGAGTGACGGATAGACGCAAGAAGCGAGACATCTTCCATTCTTGATAAATGAGAGGACGTCGTCGTTAAGGCGGCCGCCGCCGCGTCGCGTGATTAGGCTTGTTTCTTTGCCTCCTTCTGTCTCTCACACCCTTCCTTCTTTTCTTCGAAGCTCCGCTCTCCCGACCGGTGTCCGTCCCATTTTTACGATTTCGCTCACAATGAAGTCACGGCGATACGAATTTTACGAAGTCCGTTCCGGCTCGATACGTTATCTCGCCGTCTTTTACGCCCCCCGCGCGCCGCCCCGTGTGTCTTCCGCCGCGCATTC